ACTGACTCAGCACTGAGAAACACTTCTGCTCAACAAAACCAAAACACCAACACTTCTGAATTATGATATTTCCCATTGAGCCACTAAATTATTCAAATAATACATAATTAATTAAAATAACTTTTAGCTACAAATAGGTGAGCCAATGTCACAAAATAGCTCACACTTTAGTCCAAAATCAAAAGAAAAGAACAATTACTTTGCATTTAGAAATGCTTATTTTTATTTATATTTCTCGTTGTAATACTATTTCTTGAGTATTTTTTACTGCACCACTTTTCTACAAATCTACACCATGCAAGGCCAGTTTTTATATTTTATGTTTACACTATTCTGTCACCACACATTTACACACACTTTGTTTTTCCTCCTTTTTTAAATCCTGTATGGTATATTTTGTTCACGACTCATTCATAATTATGTCCGACTGAACTCTATTTCAGCTCTATCCGTATCTGTGTGACTGCGACACTAGACTATAGAGATGTAGAACTCACTCTAAAGACATGTTTGCAGTTTGCATCAGTCTTTCTGAATTATAACAACTTCTAATGAAAATTCTCTCATCATTTACTCAACCCTCATGTTGTTCCAAACCTGTCTGAGTTTCTTTCTTCTGTTGAACACAAGAGAAGATATTTTGAAGAACGTTGGTAACCAAACACTTGATGGTCCCCATTGACATCCATAGTATTTTCCCCCATACTATAGAAGTTAATGGGTGCCAGCGACTGACTGGTTGCCAACATTCTTCAAAATATCTTCTCTTGTGTTCAACAGCAGAATTTGTGTGTGAACTATCCCTTTAAATACTAATAGGACCTTTCCTTTACTAAAACAAAAACAGCAAGTCTAAAACATTTTAAACATTAAATCTCCTAATCAAGTCATATGCAAAGCATGCTGGGAACTAGAAATCCACTGCTTAATTTTTAAAGTTACAACAACAGAAATTTCAGTTTAAATTACACCCATTATATTAAGATAATATAATCAATTAGTCATTAATTATAATTATGTTAACAGAACCTATCAAAATAAGTACTTCTATTCTACTTCTATTTAGTTCAAAGTTCTATTAACTTTGTGATTATGATAAATTATTACTTTGACTGGAGTAATATTTCATTACGGGGATTTAATCTTAAATGAATGATTTGTGTACTTTTGTTGACATCCAACGTGACCATGCCAAATCCGAAAATGGCATCTTTGATTTAAAATAGCCTTGCGTCTTATTCCAGCGAGCGCTGAAGTGACGTCTCCGAGCAAACACAGCTGTGAGTGACATGAGGCACTTGAAAGTAATGGGTTTGGAAGTCCAAACGGCTCCTTTTCAGTGTCAAAATCAGAGCCACGGGTCACAAGATTTCCAAGTGTTTCCATACACACTGAATTCAAGCGAGTTGCATAATTCACTACAGCTGGACGTCAGACTACATTAAACTGCAAAACAGCTGTAATCACACGCAAGCAATAATATCATTTGATTCAACAAAACTGTGTCAGCCCCTCCATTACAAACGGTCATGAGATGTCTAATTAAACACATACTCATAATAAATGAGCTCCACGTGTGACTTAATGCAAGTCATACGGTGCAACCTTTTGACATGTGACCAGTTTTGGCTGGCGCTCTAATCTAGTAGCTTAAAGAATCTGATGTTGTGTGCACTCGTCAGTCAGAGATAAGAGATGCTCTACATTTCAAAGTCTTCAAGGTCACAAGATGATTTCTCAAAACTCAAATAGATGCTTCCTCGTTTCCTCGCTCCTCTGTCCTTCAGTCTGTCACGCATAAACTGATCTTAAAGGTCCCATATTGTACACCTTTCTGGAGTTTTATTTTA